GATTGAGAAGTCCGATCGAAAAAGTACGAATTGTTTTGGATTCTACGCACCAAAATTAATAAGAAAAAGTGTTTTCCGGAGAAATTTTGGTGCAGTCGATTTTTGGTAAAAAAGGAAGGTTATACACTGCCTTTTTTTGAGCCCCGAAAAAAAAATTGTCTCAGATCGACCCGGGAAAAAATTTTTCTTATAGAATGTGGCCTGTAGAATCCATAATTTCAAACAGTTCCAAGATTGGGCTACTAGTTCAAAAGTTACAGCCCTTTGAAGTTTCTTTCGAAATTGGTTTCTAGTGAATTTTCTGTCGATATTGGTTTCTAGTCCAGTATCATAGAAAGTTTACATTTTACAAGTTGTCGAACTTTGGAGGGTTGATTTTCCATGTGTAATCCGTATAGTGGAATTTTTATAGTAAGATTTTTAAACCGTTCACCGTTCAGTTCAAGAGAACATTGATTTTTTTATGGGATCTGGAAACCCACGATGCTAAATTTACACCTTTCTAGATGAGATAGTAAAAAGTAGTTGTACATCCCTCCCCCGTGGGGAGTAGGAGAGGGAGCGTCTACACCTTTTCAATAATGTACAAAAGGGGTTTACAGAAGGGTAAAAAATGGGATTTATTCGAGCGCATCAGATATTTAGAGCGTTGTGTATAATTGTTGCTGAACGCACTAAACTTAATTTACGAAATAAAAAAATCCAACGCACTCTAAAATGTCAAGGTAACGTTTCTTTTTGTACGTTTGTGCCCTTCCCATTCCCTCACGTCACGCTCAAATCGTCCGATTATTGAAATGCACACTTTTCAACACGTAGTCAACCCACCTTACTTTAATCTAACGCGCTCCAGTAAATCCCAAAATCTCCTATTGGGCTTCCCTACTATCAGGGTTATTTGAAGTGTGAAGACCACGCGTATATAATGAAAAGCTAAGTCAGCTGAATTTCAGTGGGAAAAAATACTTCTGTGCTTTCGTGACTAAACGATTTGAATTGGCGCAATTAAAAACATATTTAGTTATTACACGTGATATAAAAAAGAGGCAGAGATAAAAGGAGCAGGATCAGTTTGGGAATTCATTCGGGTAATCGATGTGTAGCCTGAACATTAAAGTGGTTAATTAATTTGCGTCTGAATCGCCATGGTATCGCGTAATTCCTGGATAACGTTCGCTGCTTAATAAAATTTGAAGCATATTTTTACGTAGTGGAGCTTGTGGAAATCTAATCACTTAATTTTTTGAGACAAACTCGTTAACCCTAATTAGTTGTCACAATAAAAATGGTGGTTTGCTCGTAACTTTTAAAATACATACAAGGATATACCAGAAAGCAGTTTTCCGAGAAATTTTGCCACCTTTGGAAATTCAAAGAAGTGTCCTGTACCGTCGGCGAGATTTAAATTTGCAAAAGGACTGAATCTTTATTAGAATGTTCGAGTTTGAATTAAACAAACATAATTTTGATTTCAAAAAGGAAAGATGTGCAGCCCCCCCTTATGCAAACCCGTTGCAGCCATTCAGCAAGATTTTTTGTAGCAAATTGGGCTCTCTTCGCACCTATCAGTAGTTGAAACATAAACAACACCGGACTGTATTCTAACTTGCGAAAATCACCCAAAAATCCCATAACCTAAGTCGCTTTTTGAATTTTAACCATTCGAATTCAATTTAAGATTCAATCATCATAGGGTAGGCGTCTAGAAAGAAGACGTAAAGGAAGCTTGAAGGAGGCGTAAACGAATGACACAAGCAAAAAGCGCGAAGCTTGAAGAAAGTATGAAGAAACTTGAGGAAGGGTAGAACATCAAAGAAAACTCCAAGCAGGAATGATAAAAAAGTGCGAGGAGAAAAAAGGAAAAATGAATTGATCAGTACTTCCAGGACGGTCATTTAACGGGCTATTTATGTGTGCAAAAGAAAAGTTATGACATAAATATTCTTATAAATAAGAAGCTTAGCATTGCGCAGTCTGCGCTTGCGCACACCTGATTTTTACAATATGCGATATGCTAGTCTTCACTAGAAGTATCTGTGGTAAAAATTTCATAAACGTATGTATAATTTGCAACATGAGTTGGAAATGCGCTACAAATGAAGGTGGAACCGCAAAGGCGTATGCAGGAAGGACGTCTTAAGAAGAGGGAATTAAGGGGACCTGAATAATGTGTTAAAAAATGCAGAAGGGTTTTGAAGGGGAAAGATATAATGAAAATAGTACACAAAAAGAAGAGAAAGTGAGAAGGAAGCAGAAGAGAAGACGTGCCAAAGTATATATGAAAGAGTAGCGAAAAAACGAGGAAGATGTTTAAAAAAAATAAAGGGGGCGCAGAGGTCAAACGCTTAAAAAAATTAACAAAGTCCTCGTTTGAAATCTAAAGGCATTTTTCTGTGGCAGATCAGTATTTCATTAGCCAGCTTTGACTCCTTTGCCGGTCGCCACTTCCGACGGCGACGCCCCGTTCACCCGCTATTCGCATTTTAACGGATTTCGCTAAAAACCCTCCACAAAATGGTACTCAATTTTTGGGGCACTTCTTATAGCTCGAGCTTCAATTGGCAACACGAGATAGAAGGGCCGCAATTGAAGCTCTAAGAAACTTTTGGGCGCCCAAAGTCGGTTACCCCTCGAGGACGCGCGCCTTTTGGTTTGGTGGTTAATTTCGGCAGTAGGAAAAAAACAAAATTCCGTCACGCTGGAGTTGTGCGCGTTTACAAGATCTTTCCGACGACACCACTTGAAAATAATAGGACCAAAATTGTTATAGAAACAAGAAAAAAGTGAAAAATCACCACGTTAGTATAATACGCTCGGGGATGGCGCCCAGATGTCGCCATGTAGCTCTGACCGTAAAATTGCTAATTACACGACCCCGACCAAGGTACATGTACGCTCCTCGTCTTTCTACAAGCGATTTTTTACAAGCCCGCATTTGCTGCCAGCTAGCCAGTCAAATGAGATTAAAAGAGATAATGATAGACAAGAAGCAGTTGTGAAGAAAAGACCCCTAAATACAGTCCAAAGGAAGTCAAGGAGGATAAAGCAAAGTCAGCGAACACTTGCGTTTAAAGGTAATTCGTATGGAATTTCACAGTTTTATGCCTTCAACCTTTAAACCTGCAAATAAGATTTAAAATTTGAAGTTTAAAAGAAGGCCTAAACTTTTCAGGTTCAACCTTCAAGTAAGTACTTATTAATCTTCAAAAAGAGTACTTAGTTCAAGGGTCAAGCGCAAGAGCCCCACCACCAATCTCTAATAGATGTTCCATTGCTAGTGGCCGTCTGTGTCAATAAGAAGCCATTTTGTAGGCGTTCTTTAATTAATAAGGAATATATGGGATTCGTTTTGGGGAAAATTGTTAAGGATTCGTGGTTAAGTACGCAGCGAGACCACTGCGTGATCCTTAGAAAAAATTAAAATTAATTAATTCGTTTTTGGTGGTTTTTATTCCAATTTAAAATTTTGATTATTTCTCGTACTTTTGAAAATAGAAGATTAAGGAACTACCAAGGAATAACCACGTAATGTTCGTCGCTAAGTAAATCTATGCGGAATTCATCAAGAGCGAAAGTCAGGCATAGTAAAAAACTCCAGCTTAAAAAATTCGAGTGCGAACTATTAAATTGAACGCGTTTCGCGTGTTTTTGTAGAATCAATTAATCACCAGGGATTTAGGACCGTAAAAGAAATTATTGTGCAACCACAGAACGTTAAAACCTAATCGTGAAATGCTCGCGTTTTCATCGCATCGTGTTCGGTAAAGGACACATTAATTAAACGCGCCAGATGAATTTTCGATACAAAAATTCAGCTTTGTTGCCGTTAGCGAACACAAGGGGATTAAACCTTATTGTTGGAATATATAACTGGCAGTTGGAAAAACATTAACTGGTGGTTAGTGAAAAAACGTCTGTTTAATAAACAAATATCTCCCTTTTTGTGAATTAAGATCGTGTTAACACTCATTTCCACAGCAAATTTTTTTAACATAGTATCAAGAATCTATTAAATTTAATCCTTAGACGTCAAGTGTGATTTCACCTCTTAATATTCAAGTAGCTAGGTATCGATCACGTCTATAAAAAGTCTCGTCTTGAATAACTAGTAGAGGGTACACTCCTCTCAAATATGGGATAGTGATATGTTAAAGATCCTCAGAAATTTTACTTTTCCTGTGTCTAATGGAAACTGATGGAATATACACAGATGACTGTGTGTGTCTTTGGAATGTATTGCAAAAAAAACTTTCTTCATCTCCGTAAAGGTGGTTAATACATTTGTCATCGAAAATGAATCTAGTCTAAATGGAAAGTCTGTAGGAATGGAAATGCCGAGGAACGTTTGACTTCATCTTCACCGATTTTGGCCCTTAATGAAGCACATCAGTCTAGTCCGGAGCTGTTCGGTTACGAATTTAGTGGTTTAGTTCATCATCAATTTTACTATAAATACCAAAAAATAGAGAGCCGACGAGTGGCAGGACTTTTTAGATGAAGAGATTATAACAGCATCATGAAAGCCATGTTTAACTGTCGATGTCAACTGGATTACATTCCTATTGCGGTAAATACAATTAATAATCACGGCGCGTAACCACCTCGACAGTTGTTTACGGATCTTGATACTGCAAATTTCCATCCCCATCTGGGGGAAGAAATCCTCGCGCGAAATTCAAAAGTGAAAGCTCGATTTCGAAAAATTAGTAATTCATCTGCCGAAAGTGTAAGAAAGTGTACTTTCTCTACGTGTATACCTACATTTTTGCATTGTGGTGCCTGTAAATTAATTGCGATGTTTACGCGAGGAACAAGTTTTGTTGTTCAGAAAAAAAGCGATACCGCATCCTAGTTCAGGTACCATTCTTAATGTATGTAACTGTGCCGCTAGGGCATTTGACAAAGTGGCAACTGACCACCATCGCAATTTAAGACTTCCTATTACAATCAACAGGATGAATATTACTTAAACTACGGCGAGAAAGAAATAAACCACTTACTCGGCCCCTTGCCGGAAATTGTGCAAGGCGAATTGCATAAGTGAATATTTTCCCGTGGAAGGCGATGGACTTTCAGGTGATTGCGCTCGAATATTTTTTGGTGTCGAAACCACGTCTTGCGTTGGGGGCGTCGCCGCGTTGTGGTTGTTGCTCGTCGGCGTCGAGTTCGTCGTCATGTTCTCCGAGCGTTCTATCGTCGCGGTCTTCTTTACGGGCACCGGCGAGGTCTTTGCGTGCACCTGTAACTAAAGAAGGAGACTTAAAAGATTGTTAACTGAATGTTACAATTACTTCTTCATAATTCGGCTAATACCAGACATATCGACGTGGTGTATCGCACGCACCCACGCTAAGCACTGCCATCTATTTCAGAAATGCGCCAATAAAAATTAATACACTATAACGAATCGGGTTTAGAAATCAAATTAATGCGCTGCATTTTAATTGCCAAATTACGGCCGTTATGCCCTACTGATTCGTGCATCCGTCGGCGGATGGACGTGACCTTCTTAAAGTGAGCTTGACTGGAAAAGCGAGCATCGCAAGATACAAACGGAGCAGTTCTCGTGACCAACTGCGGGATAAATTTACCATTACCACGCGTCCTTTGACAATTCAAAAATTTAAGTTAAAAAGCATACCTGGTAAATCTCAGGTAGTAATAGCATCTATATCTTAAATGATCACCATACTACATGGGGGAACCCTAGGGATAAACCATTACTTGAATACCTGAGAAGTACTAATCCAGGGATTCTCAATCGATTCGCCCGAAGGTAACAGATATTCACATTTACGAGCATCTCCTTGGAGAAGAACTTAGAGAGCACCCTTTCGGAGGACGCCTCTCGGGTCCTGCCGACTTGCGGGACAAAGTCGATCTTCTTACCAACTCCATTCTTGAGTCATTCGAACAGGCTTGTCATTCGACGGTTGCCGCCGCACTATAACCATCCCTGTTGATACAGGGAGATCGAAAAGCAGAAAACTCAATTGGGCAAATTGTTGAATAAGGTAAAAAAGAGCAAAGATATAGCCAACTGGGAGGCCTATCGTGTATCGAGGCAAGAGTTTTTGCAGGATCCAAAAGGTTCATATTGTAACGGAAACGCTCCAGACATGACGTCGCCTTTGGCGCTCTGGAATTTTCTAGGCGCGCGATAGTGGGAATGTTTGCACGTATCTGGTAATTACGCGAATGTTCTGGACTTACATTGCTTGCGTGTATAAATGGTTGTGGACCGAACATCGCGGCAGTTTTTACTATCGAACGAGATCGAGTACGTATGAAACATCGAGCGCGGAAATATAAATTGCGAAGTGTGTGATATAAATATAATCGATATAAATTGTACAGTTTTTATAGTGTGTTAATTTTGTTTAATAAATATTGATATAAATCGAACCCGAATATATAAATCACGTTACAATATTATAACACAGCTAGCCTAAAACAGGAGAATAGTTTCAACACTGACAACCTCTCAGAGACAGCTGACTTAAGGGTTGTTTATACATTATTTAAACTTAGTCTATCAACGAAATAAAAATGTTCACTGTATTACGAAATTTACAACCCCCGCACCCTAAGTATGCTGCAAGTGATAGTTTTAATAACTTGAAAAAGTGAGCAAGCCTAGAGCATACGGAAATTTATTATTCAAGGGCAGTTTAAGAGTTGTTTATACATTATTTAAACATAATCCATCAACGAAATAAAAATGTTCACTTTATTACGAAATTTACAACCCCCGCACCCTAAGTATGCTGCAAGTGATAGTTTTAATAACTTGAAAAATTGAGCAAGCCTAAAGCATACGTAAATTTATTATTCAAGGGCAGTTTAAGGGTTGTTTATACATTATTTAAACATAATCTATCATGGAAATAAAAATGTTCGCTGTATTACGATATTTACAACCCCCGCACTTCAAGTATGCTGTAAGAGATGTTTTAATAACTTGAAAAATTGAGCAAGCCTAAAGCATACGTAAATTTATTATTCAAGGGCAGTTTAAGGGTTGTTTATACATTATTTAAACATAATCTATCATGGAAATAAAAATGTTCACTGTATTACGATATTTACAACCCCCGCACTTCAAGTATGCTGTAAGAGATGGTTTAATAACTTGAAAAATTGAGCAAGCCTAAAGCATACGGAAATTTATTATTCAAGGGCAGTTTAAGGGTTGTTTACACTTTATTTAAACATAATCCATCAACGAAATAAAAATGTTCACTGTATTACGACATTTACAACCCCCGCACCCTAAGTATGCTGTAAGAGATAGTTTGAATAACTTGAAAAATTGAGCAAGCCTAAAGCATACGGAAATTTATTATTCAAGGGCAGTTTAAGGGTTGTTTACACTTTATTTAAACATAATCCATCAACGAAATAAAAATGTTCACTGTATTACGACATTTACAACCCCCGCACCCTAAGTATGCTGTAAGTGATAGTTTGAATAACTTGAAAAATTGAGCAAGCCTAAAGCATACGGAAATTTATTATTCAAGCGCAGTTTAAGGGTTGTTTACACTTTATTTAAACATAATCCATCAACGAAATAAAAATGTTCACTGTATTACGACATTTACAACCCCCGCACCCTAAGTATGCTGTAAGTGATAGTTTGAATAACTTGGAAAATTGAGCAAGCCTAAAGCATACGGAAATTTATTATTCAAGGGCAGTTTAAGGGTTGTTTACACTTTATTTAAACATAATCCATCAACGAAATAAAAATGTTCACTGTATTACGACATTTACAACCCCCGCACCCTAAGTATGCTGTAAGTGATAGTTTGAATAACTTGAAAAATTGAGCAAGCCTAAAGCATACGGAAATTTATTATTCAAGCGCAGTTTAAGGGTTGTTTACACTTTATTTAAACATAATCCATCAACGAAATAAAAATGTTCACTGTATTACGACATTTACAACCCCCGCACCCTAAGTATGCTGTAAGAGATAGTTTGAATAACTTGAAAAATTGAGCAAGCCTAAAGCATACGGAAATTTATTATTCAAGGGCAGTTTAAGGGTTGTTTACACTTTATTTAAACATAATCCATCAACGAAATAAAAATGTTCACTGCATTACGACATTTACAACCCCCGCACCCTAAGTATGCTGTAAGTGATAGTTTGAATAACTTGAAAAATTGAGCAAGCCTAAAGCATACGGAAATTTATTATTCAAGGGCAGTTTAAGGGTTGTTTACACTTTATTTAAACATAATCCATCAACGAAATAAAAATGTTCACTGTATTACGACATTTACAACCCCCGCACCCTAAGTATGCTGTAAGTGATAGTTTGAATAACTTGAAAAATTGAGCAAGCCTAAAGCATACGGAAATTTATTATTCAAGGGCAGTTTAAGGGTTGTTTATACATTATTTAACCATAATCTATCAACGAAATAAAAATGTTCACTGTATTACGAAATTTACAACCCCCTCACTCTAAGTATGCTGTAAGTGATAGTTTTAATAACTTTAAAAAATTGAGCAAGCATAAAGCATACGGAAGTTTAAGTGAGCCGAGGTACTCAGAGACGCCCACTTTTCCGGAGCCATCAGAGTATTTCAATGGAGAATTCTCAGTGGACGAATGCGTAGGAGTCAAATATTCCGGTTCTTTGAGGAGGGAAAAATTCAATTTAAGGACGCTAACCATCACACCAGGAGTGCTGTGGAGTATGGAATATTCAGCAGGAAAGTAAGCGATGGTCCCTATATCCATCACGAGGGTCCTAAGAGCGGTACGTTTTGAAGGTTAACGTAACGCCGGGGAATCTGGGGAGTATGGAAAACCTTCCAGGGAGAAGGGGGGATTCGATATTTTGTCCCTACACCTATTAGGATCCTGAGACGCTTGGCCGAGGAGTGGGAGGGGTTATTTCAGACCCCACCGAATCTACATTTGCCTCCGAAACGTATAGTGGTCTGGATCCATTAGCACTCACACTACAATTCTTGGCTAGGGATCATGTAACTTAACATTGGGAAGTGCCTGCGATATTGAATCTTCGTCGTCACAGCAAGCTTCAATGTCCTTTATAGAAAACTATTACAAGGGCCCTTAGAGTTGCTCCTAAATTTTTCCTTTCACTTATCAAAATTCGCGCAGTTTGTTTGGGGGGGAGGGGAGGTTAGTTACCAACTTAGCACTGGAGGGACTCCATATCCCTATAATTCCTGTTAGGTTATTAAGTAATGGTAGATTGTGTATGTGTATCTAAGAGTAAAAGTAATACATTCCTGGACGACAATGTAAAGTTTGGCCGAGGCATTAAGCCGAGGCCGACAAGCATTGGAGTCCGGAAATGTGCTTCAACTGCGAGGTACACATACTATTTTTTTCTGAAATCGCAATCAACATTATTATAAACTAAGGAATTTTGATAAATGCATATAGTCCAGTCAAATAAGAAAAAATAAAAACATTAATCGGTAAAGATCTGAATTTTGGTACACATGTCTATTAGTGTTCCCCATTGAACATACTAAAAGTCCCCGTCAAAATCTGTTGCGCTCGAGGCACCATCTTGGAAAAAAGGAGCACTTGTTCAGTTTCTGGCCCATATATCGGCAACAATTATTGATACGGAAAAATTTGAATTTTCTTTCGAATTGTTTTGGATTGTACGCCCCAAAATTAATAAGAAAAAGTGTTTTCCCGAGAAATTTTGGTGTATTCGATTTTTGGTAAAAAAGGAAGGTTATACACTGCTTTTTTTTGAGCCCCGAAAAAAAAATTGACTAGATCGTATCATGAAACATTATGTCATTGCTAGAATGCCTTTTAGTACGTTCAATAGAAAGTCCCAATAAATGTGTATACCAAAATTCAGATCTTACCGATTAATGTTTTTATTTGTTCAAAATTGCGCTAATTTGACTGGACTATAATAATTTTTGGTTACCATCTTATTGCCTATGAAACACTGTTTGACATTTGATGGCGTAGGCCGGCATTTCCGGATTCGTTTCGGTCCAGGGAAGTTCGTTGCTTGGCAACGGACAAAAATACTGGATTTGTGTATTTTGAGGTCTGAATTTGCTCTGAGAAAGTAGGCATTCTCGAGGGATTTCAGAAAAAGAAGGTTTCAGGACGATTTTGAGTAAAATGACATTACTTGACTCGGCTCCAAGGAGGCCTCGTACTTCAATATTTTCTCGCTAGTAATGTGTCATTTTCCTGACTTTTATGTAAATAACTATTTCATGCC